AAAAATATTAATTCTATTGTAAAATAATTGGTGGGGAACTTAGTGGGATAAAAATAGCATTTAGGAAAGTTGGTAAAGTATGCTGAAGAGAAAAATGATTATAATTCAGAACTGATACTAAAAAGGGAAAGCTACTAATTTTCACTGTTCTTTATAAGATTATTAAAATGTAATCTTTTGTATGCTTTTAAGAAAGTTAAGGAAATTTGCAAGAGTTTTTCTTCTAGATTGCACGTTCTAACTTTTTCAGAAGGTGGAAGTGGAGCTTCATGGAATTCTTGCCAGTTTAGAATCTTTAATATTCAGTAGATACGTAGGATAGATTCTTGTTACTTTCCTTAGGATCTGTGCTTTCCCAGAGCATTGCTCCAGAACTTTCTATTCTTGTCTGTTTCTAGCTTAATTCTAGTTCTGTGTGCAAAAGTGAAAAACTATGTGTCCCAGTGTATTCAGTCAGAAAAATTTAAAAGTGGTAAATGGGGACCTTTGATTTACTTCAGAGCTTCCTATGAAGTTATGTCTGCTTTTGTATGTGAAATGTCTCATTGCTCCTTATTTCTAATATTTATGGGGTGCCCTATAACTGAGTCTCTAGAGTACTTTAGATGAATATTTTAAAGAACCAGTTAAAATTCATAAATAAAACAAAAACAGTGGAATGTAAGAGTGGCATAAAAAATGTATGCCACAAGTAAAATAGCTTAATCACTGATTTTAGAAATCTTGGAAATGTCTTTCCTTGGCAGCAAAAGTGTACCACATGATAGTCAGACAAGCTTCTCTGGGAAGGTCATTTCTAGCTAACACTCACCTGGGTGGGGCGACCTACCTGTGCAATTGCCTTTAGGAAGATATTGAAGGTTTAGGTTAGTACCTGTGAAGACAGGAATTTGGTGCTTGGCTTGGTTTAGTACTATTCTGCATAACATTATAGCTATTACAATACTTTTCAGGCTGCTCTAAAAATACCAGAACTTCAAAATATAAATCAAGGGGTTATCAGATATATATTGTGACCTAGATAGAGAATCTTTAAAAAAAAAAAAAAAGCAGGTGAGAAAATAGCTCCCTTGGCATTTGATACTTCATGTTCCTGGCCACTGTTACATAATTCTTTTACATGTTTCTCTATGCTTTATAAACTTTTTTTATATTGCTGGAAATGCATGGTATAATAAGCATTATATAATTTAAATACACTTTCAAAAGTGTTTGAGGGAGGTTCAAAAACTATAGAAAATTGCCACTTTGAAAAATGTATACAAGTGTTCTACTTTCAGAAGAAATACATCAGATTCTTCAATGTTGCCCTTGTATGCTTCCTCTATATAATATGTAGTACTACAGGAAGTTGTTACATCCCCACACCCCCAAGCATTTCCTTTTAGGGGAGTTTTGGGTTCAGTCTCTATATGCAATATGATGAAGTAGTACATTATTCAAGTAGTAGAATGGATGTTTCCACTTTAAAAATGCAGATTGGGTAGATTTTAATGATGTATGATACTTAATTAGAAAAATAATATTTACAGTGTAGAACAAAACCACCATCATCCCAGCACATTAGGAAGAGAGGGATATGCTTCTATATGTTATTTTTCTACAAGAAGGCTTTTGTTTTTAAACATGGGGAAACGTTCAAAAACAATTTCTCATTTGTAATCTGTTCATTCTAGAGAGAGCCAGTTTGGTTTAGTAGGTTAAAGCACCGGACTAGAAACCGGGAGACTGTGAGTTCTAGTCCCACCTTAGGCCCAAAACCAGCTGGATGACCTTGGACCAGTCGTTTTCTCTCTGCCCTAGGAAGAAGGCAGTGGCAAACCACTTCTGAAAATCTTGCCAAGAAAACTGCAGGGACTCATCCAGGCAGTGGCCAGGAGTCAACACTGACTCAAACCCCCCCCCCCTTCTACAGCCGCAGGATTCTTTAGCATTTACTTTCCAGTGCCGGGCTTTAGAAAAGAGTGCTACAAAAAAATTGTTCAGATGCTGTGGAGAAATCCAACTGGGATTCAGTATTATGAATGCTTGAGTAAGAAATATTCCTGCTGCTCTAGTGTGGTAGAATTGATTTTCAAATATTTACTGCTTAGGAATTCTACAGAATTCTGGCTTACCATTAATGAATAGCATGTTAGAACATGATGGGTGATAATTTCTGGTTGGCTTCTGTTGCCAGTAAAAACAGTAAACAGACAATGCTCTTTTCATGCTGTATTTACTGTGACATGCAAACCAGGAACTCTAGCTTGATTCCTTCTCATCAGGCCAGAATTAAAAGTCATGGATTGTTTTTTTACTTCTGATTCTGACTTGTTTGGGAATGATAAAACCAGAGATTGTCTTTTGTGTTTCATTGGTAAAGCACGAACTGAGATCCAGCAGTTTGTTTAATTATTCCTCCTGGTTTATTGATGGTAAAGCCAGAACTCTGAAATCAGTAAATTCTGGTTTACTCTGCTGTGAGCAACTTGAAGCTCTAGCTAGCATTTTAATGGTTTACTCACTTCTTTCATCATCTCCACATCTGTATTAAGTGTGCCTATAGTTGTAGTTTCTAGCCTGTGTTAGTTGAAATCAGTGCTGTTTGTACAAAAATTCTGTTTCTAATACAGCAAAATTCTAATGAAGAGGAAACTAAGTTAGTGCTAGAGTATATGTTTTATGTTTCTGAGGCCCTGGTTTGTCTTTAGCACTTTCAGTTCAAGGGGCTCTGAACAAGTGATGACTCTGAAATGCAAGTTGAAATATTAGTCTAGGCCAGCAATTATTTTGATTAGTATAGCAGAATTCAATATTCTTGTAAGGAGAGAAGGAATAAACTAGAGTAAATAAACAAGAATCTATCAGGCAGCAATTTTGAAATATTGCCATAGCATTTTGAAATTAGCATAGTAGTTAAAAGAGAATTTGTATTGGATATTTTAAAAAAAAAACTTTTTTTGGTGAAAAAAACTATAGTTTGATGTGCAGTACCTTTATATTTGTACTTTTTCACACCATTTGGAAGTTACATTTTCTGTGTCCCTTTTCTGAAGACAATTTTTGAGGAGAGCTAATTATTAGCATATTTGCAAATGACTTAAGTTTTTTTTTTAATCCGAAAGCTAAACTTTAGGCTTAATCAACATAAATTTGTCTGGATCACAAGGATTAAGGGCAGTTCACTTCATTCTATTTTGATCAAATCTCATTTGGAATACTATGCCTTGGTCTGGGTGCCTTAATGTGAAGGATTGAGACAAATCTGAAAGTGTCCAGAGAGAGAGGTCATCAGATATATATTGCGATGTAGAAAAGAAGTTGTGGTTGTTTAGTCAGGCAAAGAAATTATTAAGAAGCAATATTGTAAACATTCTCACGAATTTGAATGATTGACAAAGGTGCTGAGTAATATTTTCAGTTATTCCATTGTTGATGATCTAAACTAATGGGTTCAGATTAAAAGAGGGGATTTTCACAATAAAACTTCTTGATAGTCCAACTAATACTATAAAACTGACCTTTGAAGATCCTTCAAACTCTGATACTAATGAGTGAAACTACACCATATGTTTATGTGTGATATATACTAAAGGGTGGAGAATATATGTGCGTAGTTAGATAGGAAATGAAAAAGACGGTGAGATTGGTGCTAGTCTGCAGTTTTTGTGAATAAACATTTTTGCTCAGTATTCAGTCTCTTGTTTCCAGAATTTGTTTTTCAGTGGATGTATAAGAATATATGGGCAGAAAATGTATGAATCAGAAAAAATCAAATTATTCTCCCCTTAATTTTTCATAGGAATTTCTTTTCCTGTAAATTACTCTTGATGGTACTGTTTCCTTAGGGGAATTTTTCATAGGAGATCCTAAAGTAGACCTTTGATTAATTTATTCAGGAATCAGAATACTATATCATTAATATGTCAGAATCTGTACCTTGCTGAGTCATTGGAGAAAAGAATGTGGAAGTTGAAGTATAAATAATTTCTGCATACTGAAAAACTTGGATTACTCTTTCTGATATGTTCATAAACTGTTCTGTGAAAACTTCCCCAATTTCCCTAGATATTTATTTGAGCCCATTAGCTATCTAGTTCCTTTTTTCTGCCATCTTTATAACACATGGACACCCATATCTCTTATTGCTGTTTTTATTATTCCAGCCAATCACTGATTATGTAGCCAAGTGGGATGGTACTGTGTAGCTAATTAGATGTATATTTATGATACCAGGACAGAAAATATAGTCCTACACTGAATGGAGTTGAGGAGGCATGCTGTGAATACTTCTTTGCCTCTGTTGGTTATGCTACATTTTGTAATAGTGATGTGGGAAAATATCAACAAGAAGGTCCCCCATCATTTTTATCAGCTGCTTTCAGTGTGATGTCTTTTAAAAAAAATTATTTACACAAAAGGCCAAGGGCATTTTAGAGCAGTATTAGCATAGTTTCTAAGACTTGCATAGTAAAAATATCCCTGTGATATTATGAGGCCTTATTTGGAGTCGTGTTCTGTATTTCCAGTTTGGAAATTTCCATTCCATTTTGGAGGAGAGATACAGGGTTGGTAAAGAGTCTAGAAGATAAATTGTTTTAGAGAAGGCTGAAAGGACACAAGGACAACATGATGACATTTCTATTGGGAATTTTATCAAAACAACTATAGATTTAATTTATTTAAGAATATTTATAGGAAATAGGAAAGTCTCCTAATATTTTAAAAGTTTATAAATGGAATAAATAACTTGCAAAATTTAGAGACCTATGAAAAAGGTTGAGCAAATGTGTCACAAGTGCTTTAGTCAGATATAATCAAGTAGAAATCTAGATTCTCTTCCCTGTTGGATTCTTTGCAGATTTTTTATTCCAACTTTGTAGAATTGAGTATTTATTACACCCTCCCCCCCTTTTTTAATGCTACTAAAAGAGGCAAAGTAGTCAGGGCGGGTGGTTCTTGAATTGGGCAGCATGTGTTCAGTCATCTGTACAGAATGCTCATTTCTCTCTTTCCAGGAGGCGACGATCAGAATGGCGGTGGGCAGCAGACAGAGCTGCTATTGTCAGTCGCTGGAACTGGCTTCAAGCTCACGTCTCAGATTTAGAGTACCGAATCCGACAGCAAACAGATATATACAAGCAAATTCGAGCCAACAAGGTAAGAAAGCAAAAGTTACTTCTTTTGGAACTTTATCCTTTATTACAGTTCTGCAAATACCTTCATATGTGTTTTGCATTGCATATATTGGGGGGGGGGAGGCAGAATTTTATGGCTTCATCTTGCTAGCATTTTTGTCACCAGGTATAACTACGTGAATGTACATTTTAGCAGAAGTTGCAGACTTCTTGGTGGTTTATCTTTATTAGGACCTCCAGTTTGCCAGGCCTTCAGGTTCTCCAGAATTACACTGTGTGCACAATTATTAGGCAAGTGAGTATTTTGACCATATCATTTTTATGCA